CCCGGGCCCTCCCCGGCGTTTTCTTTCTCCCCTTTTAGCCACTCCTGCTCTCAAGTCAGGCCGCCTCTTCCTCCATGCTGCCTGCCTGCCGGGTGGAGCATCAGGAGGGGCCCCGTGCCCCCGAGGCCTGGCCTGGAGCAGGCTCTGCAGGGACGGTGCAGGCTCCGGGCTGCACTAGGAGCTGGGAGCGTTGGCGCGTGCCTGGTCCCCCAGGAATGGCGAGGCTGCATGCTAACCCCTCCCAGGGCAGTGCTGGAGCCAAGGGCAAAGCAACAGGCCCCTGAGCAGCAGGTGCACCAGGTTGCAGGTTAGCCAGTGGCAGTGAGCAGGGCAGGAGGCCCAAGGGTCCAGCCAGCTCCAGTGGATTTGCACGAGCTGACCCTTTCCAGCCCTGGGGTCCCACGCAGGCTGTGTCTGCGAGCCGTCCTCTTCCACTGCGCCTGGGAGCCAGCTGCCAGAGGAGGGTGAGGGTGGGAGAAGGCATCCAGCCAAGCACTGTGACCACGCACAGCGTGCTAAGGGCGTTGGAACTGGGACTGGCGGCAAAGCCCTGCGGATCGCAATGTGGCAGGGCCTCCGGCGGCTGGACAGGGAACCTGCCCCGGTCGCTAGCCGAGTCCCGGTGTCCGCGGTGGCCTCTCCAGCTCAGCCAGTCTCGAGAGGTGTCAGCTGGCATTGCTGCACTCAGGGCATCTGCCGAGGCCTGGGGGCGGCACGCACCATCGCAGTGTGTGAGCGCCTGTCTCGCGTGCAGAGCGCCCCGCGCCGGGACTCACCGCCCCTTCTGTGCTCTTCTCTCCCCAGGGACCATGCGTCCAGTCAGGAGGAACTTCTATGACCCCTCCTCGGCCCCTGGGAAGGGGGTCGTGTGGGAGTGGGAGAACGACAACGGCTCCTGGACCCCCTACGACATGGACATTTGCATCACCATCCAGAATGCCTACGAGAAGCAGCACCCGTGGCTGGACCTCTCCTCGCTGGGCTTCTGCTACCTGATCTACTTCAACAGCATGTCGCAGATGAACCGGCAGACGCAGCGGAAGCGCCGGCTCCGGCGCCGCATGGACCTGGCGTACCCGCTCACCATGGGCTCCATCCCCAAGTCCCAGTCCTGGCCCGTGGGCACCAGCTCCGGCCAGCCCTGCTCCTGCCAGCAGTGCCTGCTGGTCAGCAGCACCCGGGCAGCCTCCAACGCCATCCTGGCCTCGCAGCGGAGGAAGGTGCATGCGGGCAGCAGCAACGGGACGCTGGCCGTCAGGCAGAGCAACACTTTCAGCGGGACAGCGCTGTGGTCCGCGGGCACCGTACCGGCTGGGGGGGCA